GTCAAGCAAAGTTATTGCGCCTGAGTTGATTGCATATTTGAGTAAAAAGAATGTTGACTTGGGTGGTATAAAAGCTGTAGGTTGTGACGGAACCGTTGCTAATACAGGCAATCGAGGAGGTATCATTCGATTACTTGAAGTGGCGTTGAACAATCCGCTGCAATGGTTCGTATGTCAGCTACATGCTAACGAATTACAGTTAAGGCATTTGTTCGAACATCTAGATGGACCTACCAATGTTCCAAAAGGATTTTCTGGTCCAATCGGAAAATCATTGGTGGCATGTGAGAAGCTTCCCGTTGTCAAATACACACCCGTAAACTGTGTTCAACCGACAAGTTTAAATTCTGACGATTTGAGTACAGATCAAAAATATCTGTTTGACTTGTGCACCGCTGTCAGTGTTGGCGTTTGTCCTGTAGGCCTTTCACTTCGCAACCCTGGTGTTATCAATCATTCAAGATGGTTAACAACGGCTAATCGAATACTACGCCTGTATATAGCCACAAGATGCCTATCCGATGAACTGAAGACAATGGTTACCTTCATCGTAACAGTTTATACACCAGCATGGTTTGAAATAAAAAATACTTCTTCATGTAAAGATGGCGCTCGACATGTCCATAATACAATACTGAAAACACGCTACCTCACAGACGAGCTAAAGAAAGTTGTTGATCCAGTAATTCAACGCGACGCATTTTTTACTCGTCCAGAAAACCTGTTGCTTGCGATGCTTACCGACGAAAAATCAGAAATACGCAAGTTGGCTCTGAGACGTATAATGAAATCCAGGAAGCAAAAGCGCACGAGTTTAGTTAGATCTTTCTGTGTGCCAGTAATCAATTTTGAAGCTACCAGTTACATAGACATGATCGATTGGCAAAAAACTCCAATCACAGAGCCTCCAATCGTAATGGACATTGATGACGATACTTTTTTAACCATGATCCGGGAAGAAGATACACCAAGACTGGATATCGCACGCTATCCTTGTCACACTCAGTCGGTGGAGAGGCATATTAAGCTAGTTACAGAAGCTTCCCAAGCGGTTTGTGGTCCAGAAAAACGCGACGGATTCATAAGAGCACGTTTGGAATCGAGATCAAAAATGCCGAAACTGGACACTAAAGCACAACATCATTTGTAGCTATAAAAACATGTTTGACTAGAGTTTTCATATATATATATATATATATATATATATATATATATATATATATATATATATATATATATATATATATATATATATATATATATATATATATATATATATATATATATATATATATATATATATATTTTCCTACTCTTTAAGGTTGCTCAACCATGAACAAAATGTGGTTAAGTTTTGAAGAAAATCAAAATTGACCAACATCAAAAAAAATAACAACATGTTACTTATGAATGCAAAAAAAAAAAAAAAAAAAAAGTTGATAAGGAGTACCAACCAAGGAGGTTGACTTTATAATTCTGGTTATTGCTCATATAATTATATTCACATAAATATATTAATAATAGTTTATAGAAATTATATAATACAAATATAAATTATATGAAATTCGAGCTTTTAAGTTGAATTTCTGACATAAACTATTTGAGAAAATTGTAAACGTTATATTTAAATACATTTTTTTCAAAATGTCAATTTTTAACTTTGCGGCCATTCTACTTCATTAACCATATGTCAGATTTGCATGAACTTTTTACCAAATATTTATTTGTGCAATTGCAAACTTTACAGTATTGTTAAGATACCATCTTAAGAGCTGTTGATTTATAAAATTTTTAAGTTACAAATATGCATTTTTTTAATAAGTCATTTTGAAATTTTCAACGTTTGGGTTTTTAAATTTTTTTTTGTTTAGGTTGAAAATTAATATGTTGTTGACCATATACCAAAAATTTATACATATAAAAAAAAGATCTTTTTATTAAAATTTTTATAAATAGCAAAAATATTTTATCTAAATAGTGTAACTATCGAGCATACTTAACTTTATACAATTGTTATATGACGTAACAAAAGATCTTTTTTTTATTCAAATTTATAAATAGAGCTTATAAGAGACTCATAATTACGTTTGTTTTTATGCTAAATGCTTTTAGCTCAGTGGTTAAGTGCGTTGTCACCAGTGTTGTTTTGGGGGTTTAAGACCTCCTCTTTTGTTTTGAGGGGTTTAAGATCTCCTTTTTTTGTTTTGGGGAGTTTAAGACCTCTATCATAAATTTTGATATTTTTAAAATCTTTCTTATATATTTATAGTAAAAAAATAATGTTATAGCAAAAAAAATTTCTAAAATTTAAAATAAAATTTTTAAGTTTTCTCATTTTGCAGCTATGGCCGGGTGAATAAAAATGAGCAACTGCTTTTACTCAGAATTTGTTCAGTTTTACTGAGTTAAAACTGTAGGAAAATTGTTGAATTATTTATTCACGTAAAGCTGACCAATTAATGAGTAACTGCTTTTTTTTATTCACCCGGCCTATTATACCCAATTATCTCTATATAATGCATGCAAACTCAACATATGCTAAAGACGTTTACACTTACAGACGTTTGTACATAACGCTATACAAATGGAATTAAGAAGATCTTAGACCACTAAAACATAGTCATAAAAAAAAGTTCATTCATATGATTATGATTAAAAACTAAAGAATAATATTAAATGTTACCTAAAAGTTAAGCCAAAAAAATTTTGCGCATTGACGTCAGTTAGTGGAAAAATAAACCTTTACGCGTCAAGTTTTCTTTTGCATTTGTCTTAAATTTTCTGATTAATTTTAATTATGTTGCATACTATTGCACAAAAAGATAAAAAACTTGTACAAATATATCATTTCACTGATAAGAGTTTGTATTTATTACAAAAGTAATAAATAAATAGTTTTTGTCTTTATTAGAGTATATCCGATAAAAATATATTCCATATATTTTTAATAAAAGGAGTTTTCCTAAAAAATTTAAATAAAATCTTATTTCTAGTTCGTTTTTCTAGTTAATTTTTGCCACAAAATGACGTCACATATTCAAAAATATCGATGTTCGAAAAAGCCGCGTCTATCATATTTAACTAGCAGTAAGCAACCCGTAATACGGGTTGCTAGTAAATAAAATTAAAAAAAAAAACCGCGTATAGAAAAGCCTAGAAACTACTTAAAAACAAAAAAGCCTAGAAAATGACGCAAGTCGACTATTAACTACTACAATTAAATTAGCGTATTAATATTATCAGATGGTCTAAGAAGCAGATGACGTAATTTTAACAATCAGAATTTATCAAGAAAGGAGCAAATCTAAGATTGAAGTTTCCACTTGGATGTCATTATGTTTCATGTTTTTCAATATTGTCAATTTTTTTAAATATAATAACCCAACGGGCATTTGTTGGTTTAAAATTGGTTTAGATCACGTTTAGATGGCATTTACGTCGATCTAAACGATTCTAAACGTGTTCTGAATATTTAATTTGCGTTGAAAAGCTAAATCAAACAATTCCCGTACGGAACTAACTTACAGGGTTATTCATTCTTATATGCGCGTCTATTCATTTTTATATGCGCCTTTATTCATTCTTATATGCGCATTTATTCATTTTTATATGCGCCTTTATTCATTCTTATATGCGCATTTATTCATTTTTATATGCGCTTTTATTCATTTTTATATGCGCATTTATTCATTTTTATATGCGCCTTTATTCATTCTTATATGCGCATTTATTCATTCTTATATGCGCATTTATTCATTTTTATGTGGTTTACAAAAACAATTGTAAAAAAGCAATTTGAACCAAAAAAAATCATTTAATAAAATCATTGATAAAACAGTTTATTATTTCAAAGCAAATTTTTCTTATTTCCTGGTAAACGAGTTTAAAAATATTTATAAGACGATTGTTTAGTTTTTATCTTATGCTCTATATCTAAAAGCTATTGAAATATTTATAGCATTATTTTTTATTTATTTTATTATGTTATGAAAGACCTACCAAGCTTGAAATTTTAATGGGTTGAAATATATAGTATGTATAAGTATATCATCCCTCGGAATTAGGAAAACTAAAGTCTGCAAAAAAAGCTAAAAAACTAGTCGACTAAACTTATTTAAAACGCTTTTAACAAGTTTAGTTTCAAGTTAATGTTATGTGTTGATGTACCTTCAACCAAATTAGTGTTAACATTTTAGCAAAATGTCATATCGCCAGTCTGTTGGAAGAACCAAAAGCTTGTTATTTTATTGAATTGTTATTTTAGTTTGTGATATTATAATTTTTATTCAAAAAATGTTAAATAATTTACTTTTTAAATTTATTTGTCATTGCTTTGGATAAGATGTTTTGTTATTCCTTTTACAGAGTGTTATGAGGGTTGCAAAACTTTTAAATATCAGAAACTGAAGAAAGCATTGATAATCAGCAGATATCAAAAAAGCGCAAAAGTACTGATTATACAACTCTTTTAAAGGTTTCGTTTTAATTTGTTAATGTTTATATAGAAACTAATAATATATAAACTGAAAATAATAACATATAGTTAATCCATAATTGTGCATTATTCTAATCTAAATTATTTTTTTTTTCAATTTCTTCAGAGTTAATATTACAAGTTTAATGCAATTACAGTAGAAATGGTTAATTATGGAAAAACTGCACTAAAAATTGAATAAATCACTTGTTAAAGCAAATAATATTATATATATATATATATATATATATATATATATATATATATATATATATATATATATATATATATATATATATATATATATATATATATATATATATATTATAAATTTAATAATAATTGTTTTATTTAGTTTGTTCTAATTTTTATGTAAAAAAAAAAAAAAAGCATGTTTTAGTTAGTAAATGATTAACCATTTTTATAGTATTTTTACGGTGTAGTAAAATAGTTTTTATTTTTCAGTTGAGGAAGAATTTTATGTTAATGTTAATGCAAAAGGTATGAATATTGACAGGTTAGCTAATTTGATGTTACAATAAACATGAAATAAGTTTGTGAAGACCTTAGTGCCAAAAATACTTGCATGCATTATACATGCATGCTGTATTATAATATAGCATTCATGCATGATGCATTCAAGTATAAAAAAAAAGTTACAAATGTTTAATTATACAAAAAGATTATGGATGTGGTACTGCAAGTATATTCAATTGATTATGCAAGTAAGTTGTCCTACTTTACATCTTTGAAGACTAATAATAATTGTAATGAACATATCTCAGACAATATACACTCGGATTTATATTTTAGTTAAACCATCACCACTTCCACAGCCACCTTGTCTCAAGCATTAAATCGCATTCTAAGATATCTTTATTCAAATTAAGTGTGACTACTTTACCAAAAGACTCTAGAATGGACCAATCAAGTAAGATGTCTAAATCTATATCTTTTATATAGAACTCCTTTATTTTTAGATAAACCTGTTAATTTTATGACTTTTGAACATATTTAGCAATGTAATCCTTTTAGGATAGACTTTTTAAAATCAAATTTACAATGTTTTAGTAAATTTTTATTTAAAATAACTTTGTATACATAATATATCTATATAGTTATTTACATAATAGCTAACCCATCAGTACTTGCAAAGTCTCCTTTTCTGTAAGCCCAAAATTGAGTTCTAAAATACCATTATCCGCATAACTACTATATCAAAGTACAATCTAATGGATTGATCAAGTAATACTTAATTTTTACCTTGAATTGTGTGTTAGTACATATATATGATTTTGATATATAAATTTTAATTATTATGTTTGTTGATTAGTTTTTAAACTTTAAGAAGTGTAAGAATTAGAATTTTATTTTTACATGTTTATTTATATTGTAGTGAAACTGTCGGTATCTCCACAACTTTTCAATTAAATAGAAAGTTTCAATTAAACAGGATACTGAGTGTGCCTACTGCTCCTCGAGACAATGAATAATGGGAGTTATCAAATAGAATACTATATAATATTGTATTACTATGTTTAGGAAGGGCACTGCAGTTGTCCTGCAGTTATGCAACTTATCAACCCATAACTGTGATAACTGCCAATTTTTTTATAAGGTTTTTATTATATAAATGTTATATATTTTACAGAGTTTTAAAGAAAAGTTCTCTGTCAATTGTTACCATAATTACTCAATGTACACTCTACTAATGTACAATCTTCTATAATCTATAAAACTATGGATTTATAAAGTTGTTAAATGAATGATTTATATGAATAGAATGAAGATGTTTATTGAGTTATTTTTATTATTTTTAGAAAAGAGATTGTATGACTTCGGTATCCGCAATACGGTATCGTGCATTGATTTCCATCTTAGAATGGCTCCCTTGCGTATAGGTGGAAATAGGAAAGGTTATGCCCTTTTTTCTAATTCTTGAGACGAAGAGGCTTAATCGGTTCAAACAAAGATGACGATGATCATTATGGAGCCGATCACGATGACGAATACGATAATGCATATAATAATAAATAAAATGATTTTACTTGTATCTTAAACTTAAAAAATTATTTGTTTAATGTTTGATTTGTTTATGAGTATTTAGATAATGCGTTCAGCTTTTAACTTTTTTTTTCGGTGCTTATTTAAAGCAGCTTAAATAAAAGAAAAGTTTGATTCGTTTATCAATATTTTGTATTTATTTATGCTTCTTTAAATAAGCGCTGTAAAATAAAGTTTAACGTCGCGAAGTTTTAAACGAAAGATTTAGATGGAGTTTAAATAGCATTTAAAACGAACCATTTAGAAATGGTTTAAATGGAACATTCGATTGACCTACATTCTAAATCAAAACTAAATTAAATCTAAACATTTAGAACGAACATTACCTAAACGTTGATTAAATGTTCGAATGCCCGTTGGGAACAAACATACAAAAAATCAAAACAAAACAGCTTGAGCAAAAAAGACTTGTAATTACTAGAAAAGTTTACTTATATTACATCGATCCTGAATAAAACGTTATATAAGAGGATTTTACACATTTTATAAACAATATATATAAACAAATAACACTTTTTTGTATTTATTAGGCCGGGTGAATAAGAATGAGCAATTCCTTTAGCTCAGTAATTCGTCAGCTTTACGTGAATAAAAACGTCAGCAATTTTACTTTTTTTTTTAATTTTAAGTTTTTATTCACTTAAAGCTGAGCAATTACTGAGTAAATTTTTTTTTTTTTTTTTTTTTTTTTTTTTTTTTTTTTTTTTTTTTGTCTTTTATCAAAGCTTTACAAATACGTGATCATAAATATAAACTAGTTCGTTTACATTGTATAAAAAAAATACCGTACATATAATAAGAAAACTTTTTTTAATACAAATAATAATATATATAAAAAAGTAACACTGTTAAAAGACGCGGGAAACTTGCAGAAGACCATTTTGGTCTTGTCATCAAGAAACCGCTTTTAGTTGCGATATTTTGTATACTTAATTTATTAAGAAATTTCAGTTTGTCAAAGTCTTATGGTGGCATAAGAGACACACATAAAAAGCTACTTAATAATCAAAAACAAAAAACGGAAAAGAGCTGTATTTGATACACATAAATATATAGTTACATGGTTTGTTATACTTAGTATATTGACATGTACGAAATATAAATAAAATCTAACATTTACTTTGCTTTAAAGTGGATTTTTTAGGGGTTTTTAGTTATTTGTTTTAATATACGTTTGTAAAATTGTTTAAGTTTAGAACAAGTTTTTTTAAAAGTGTTTTCAGAGAATTATGGTTAAGTAGTTTTGTAATTATAGTATTTTTAGCTATTAGTTTGTTGTAGAGGTAAGGGCCGCGATAGGAGATGGAGAAACGTGATAGTTTTGTTTTTTTATATGGTACTTTAAAATTTCCTATTCCTCGAGTTTCATATTTATTTCTATTGCATTTAAAAAATTCTTCTGAAAAATGTAATGGGACAAGTCCGAGTTTATATTTGAGCATGAATATCAAATTTTGGTAAATGTTAATTTTGTAGACATTTAGTGCATTTAGAAGCTTTAGCAAAGGTTCGGCATGAGTAAATTTATCTTTATTAAATACTATTCTTGCAGCATGTTTTTGATGTCGATAAAGTGCCACTAGGTTGGATCTATGGGTACTTGCCCATGCTATATTACCATACGTATAATAGGTTTGAATGAAGGAGAAATAAAGTAGCTTTAAATTTTTTTGGGGTAGCATGGGTCTAGCTTTGTAAAGCATGCAAATGTTGTTTCTTATTTTGGTATTTAATAAGTTTATGTGAGCTTTCCATGAAATATTCTCATCGATAAGTATTCCTAAAAATTTTGTTGCTTTGGTTCTTTCGATAAATTTATTTTCTATTTTTAGAGACGGTAATGGAATTGGTATAGATTTTTTCCTTTGATTGGTGTGAAATAGAATGTAGTTGGTTTTTTCTGTATTCAATGATAATTTGTTTGATTTAAACCAAGTATTAAGTTTTTCAAGTTCAATACCTGCAGTTTCGAAGAGTTCTGCGATAGAAGTAGATGAATAAAATAAGTTTGTATCATCTGCAAACATTATGGCATCAAGTTTTTTTGAGACTTTTGGAAGATCATTGATGTATAGCAAGAAGAGTAGGGGAGCTAGAATGGAACCTTGGGGAACTCCGCATTTTATTTTAAGTAATTTTGAATGGGTATTTTTATCCATAATAACACATTGCTGTCTGTTTATAAGAAAGCTCTCAAACCAATGTAAAGCAACATTTTTAATGCCATATTTTTCCATTTTTTTAAGTAGTATAGCATGATCAACAGTATCGAATGCTTTCGATAGATCAATAAAGATTCCTAGAACAAATTTGTTATTATCAAAAGAGTCATTTATTTTATTTACAAGATCTATAATCGCATGTTCGGTTGAATGTTGTTTTTGAAATCCGAATTGTTTTTTATTCAAAATATTGTTAATAGTTAGGTATTTATATAGTTTATTGTAAACTATTCGTTCTAGAAGTTTAGAAAAGACAGAAAGGATTGAGATGGGTCTGTAGTTATTAAGTGAGCATTGCTCTCCGGATTTAAATATTGGTACGACTTTTGCAATTTTTAATTTGTCTGGAACAGTTCCTGTTGTAATTGAAGATTTAAAAATTTCGAATATGGGTTTGCGTATCACCGGGAAGACACTTATTACTACGTTGCTAGAAATCTCATCAATCCCTGGTGCTTTGTTAACTTTTAGAGAATTTTTTGCAGCTTCGAGTTCATCATAGACTAGTCCATTGAATTTTAGTTCGCTTTGTTGATTTGTAAGATAGGTTTCAAAATAGGTATTTGGGCATTGAATTTTGGACGCCATGTTAGGGCCGATGTTTGCAAAGAAACTGTTGAAATGTTCGGCTATAGAACTTTTATCGTTGTATTCTTTTTCATCCACAACAATTCTATCAGGTAAGGTATTTGTTTTGGTATTTTTTTTCCCGATTATTTCTTTCATGATGTTCCATGATTTTTTAATATCGCCATTGGTATTTTGAAGTAGTTTTGAGTAGTATATTTTTTTAGAGTTTTTCCTTATTTTTTCAAAGAGATTTTTGTATTGCTTGTAGATAGATAAGTTGACTTCATTTCTGTTTTTTAAATATTTTATGTAGAGTTTTTGTTTTGTTTTAGAGGATTTTTTAATTCCACTAGTAATCCATGGACAGTTCAAATATTTTTCTTTAACTATTTTTTCTTCGATCGGGAAATAACTATTATAATGAAAAAAAAAAATTTTTTTAGAATTGTTGTTTATTCTTGTATCTTGATTTATAGAAAAGTAAATTGGGAAGTGATCCGAAATATCGGTTTTAACTATACCTGTTTTTAAAGAGGAATCTTGAAATGCATTTGTCAAGATGTTATCTATTGCGGAAATTGAATTCGGGGTTATTCGCGTAGGTTTGTTGATAATCGGAAAGATACAATGTTGAAACATGTTGTCAAAAAAAAGTTTGGTGGTCGAATTCTTTTTGTATTTTAAACAATCTATATTTAAATCACCTATGCAGAATAGTTTTTTTTGTTCTCTATTAATTTTAATAAAGATATCTTCCAAGTAGCTTGAAAATTTTTTTATATCTCCTTCAGGTGGTCTATAGCAGGTAGAAACTAAGATATTTTTAGTTTTGGAGTTAGTGATTTCTATTGTAAGTACCTCACAACTGGAATCAGAAATCGAAAGGTCTTTTCTTGCTTTTATTGCTTGGTCATTCCGAATATATGTTGCAATCCCTCCCCCCCTTTTGTCTGCTTTCCTTTCAGAAGATAATAATTTATAATATGGAATTTGAAAGTTAGAATTTTTTTGAATTGATTCATCAGAGCACCAAGTTTCTGTCAGACAAATCATACTGAATGAGTAATTGCAATCGGTTAAAAAATGTTTTAATTTATCAAAATTTTTATTTATACTTCTTATATTTATGTGTATTGCCAAAAAGTTATTTTTAAAAGTTTGGAGTTCAGTTTTAAAATTTTTAATGTTGAAATAAGGCGAATCAAAGTTATTAACTTGAAAGATTTGCGTATCAACGTCACAAAAATCATTGAGTATGTTATTTGCGGTTTCAAAGACATTAAAACGCAGCGATTCAAAATCTATTGTTTTGTAAGTCATTAAGTTAAGAAGCAAAAGTTAAATACGCGTTCGTTTAAAAAAGAGTTTAAGTAAAAGAGAACGCGGCGCTACTTTTTGAAATCTCGACTAAATATTTTATCGTATTTTAAAATAGCGTATTTACCTTCGCTGCGTAGTTTTTTTACTTCTTCCCAAAGCTTTCTTCGGAGTTCAGTTGTTTCTGGAGCGAAGTCTTCATTAACGTATAGGCCGGTTCCTTTAAGGTGCTTTACTGCGTTGAGAATTTTGTTTTTGTCCTGAAAATTTAGAAGTTTTAAGACTATTGTTCTTGGTTTGTTATGCTTGTGTTGACCGATACGATGAGCTCGTTCAATCACCACTTCACTTGTTATTTTAAGTTGTTTTTTAATCATTACTTTTACTGCTTTTTCGCAATCATCCCAATTCTCTCCTGGTGTTTCGTGTAGTCCGTCTATTCTTAAGTTGTTTCGTCTCGATCGATTTTCCAAATCTACTGTTTTTTTGTTTAATATATTTACTTCATTGTCATAGTATTTTTTTATGTGGGATAATTTTTCTGATATTTTATCTTCTTGAAAATTAAGGCTGTCTTTAATGTCATTGATATCTTTTTCAAAATTCGATATTTTCCTTTTATTGTTGTTATTGTCTTTTTCTATAACGTCTAACCTATCGGTTATAATTTTAAGGTTTGCACTCATTATTGAGGTGAAAGTTTTTTCCTGCTCCTTTAGCAAACGTTCTGTTTCTTTAAGTATGCTTTTTTTATGTTCTTCAAGTTTTGATGAAATCATTTTTTCAATGCTCTTCATTGTTATTTCCATTTTTAACATAAAGTTAGAACTTTTTTTGCTGCGACTAAAAAACACGTCCGCATACCACGCCGCTTTCAACTAAAAAAAAAAAAGGAAAAAAAA